TCTAAGCAGAGCAAGACCCACAATTTACCAAGGAAATCAAACACCATAATTACAGTATTACATTATTACATTTCTGTGCACTTTTTGCCTGAGGAATGGGCTACTTCAAAGCCCTACACATAACTTGATTCGAGCAGAAAATTAATCCCTCTCGCCCTTGCAAACGCTGGAGCAAGGGCAGGCTGCTTTTGCTACAAGCTTTTTACTTCAGTTCTAAAGTCCAGTTGCCCACCTAGACTGTGTTTTATACTGTGATTTAAAACTGGGTGWTGACGTGAGATATCCCAGTGATTTGGAAGGCCAATGAATATTCCTTCCCCGTAGTGATGCCTGCTTAGCGGGGCTTGTTCTGGGCCCCACGCTGAGCTGCCCGGGTGCATCTCACCACCAACATCCCCTCCTCAGGAGCATCTCGTCACCAACGTCACCTCCCCGGGACCCCGGGCGCTTCCTGCGTGTCCTTCCCGTGTGGAAACAAGGGCAGTAAAGAAGCATCTTGTGAAGAAGCACCCACCCACTGTGAGCAGCACCACGGCAAGCGGCCACGCTGCAGCAGAACAAGCCCATGCCTTGGTGGCCGAGGTGTTTCCAGGCACTTCCAGTCCTACTACAGGCTGGACAAAACCCTTGGAGCTGCCGCTGATACAGAAGTTGTACCCTGAAGAGAGCCTGAAGCAGCTCGGCAGCCCCTCGGCCCGGGATTGGGAAGCTCCCAGTTATTCTCCTTGCAAACCGAGGAGGTGTTCACTCCCACTACGAGCTCCCTTCAGTTCCGCTGCTTTTCAAAATAAAACCAAAAACCAACCAACCAACCAAACAGAAACAAAACAAAAACCCAAAACTCCCACAGAAAGGCTTCTTACCATTACTAAGAGYGAGTAATATAAATCTAAGAATCCCTCAAGCCGTGATTTCCTTTGGTAGTTAAGATGATACTTAGGTTTACTTTAACGACAGCAAAGTCCACAGAGGGTGCTTTTTTATTTTATTTTTAATTTTAGGTGACTKTTAAGACACAACAGCCATATCTAACACTCTCTTTTCCCACAGTCACCCTACCTGTTTTGGCTTAGGAAGAACAAAGCAGCAACACAATTCAACTTACTTGCTGCTAGCACCTCAGAAAAGGAGAAAGGAGAAAAATCAGGAATTTTATCAGGAATATTGGGGAAAAACCCCCCAAACCTCTGTAATACCCACAGAAGTGGGTAATATATAGGAATTCATGCAACTACAGAACTACAGAACACACCCTTTACAGTGTATTTAGGGCCAGGTTCAGTTTTCTTTAAGTGATGGGACTTAATAGGATTCTGCCCTGCAATCCTTGGTGAGGAGCAAGTTGCAGGTCATTTTACAATTTTAAAAATAAGCAAGCAAACAGAAAAGCCCTATCACCTAGTGAACCATTTTCTTTCTCAGTAATAATTACAGATTGTTTATCTAGAATGTGGTTACATAAAATATAATTAGGACAACGCTGACGAGATCAGATGAAAACAAAATTACTCCTAATGCAAGGGGCGCAGCTGCCTGGTCCCGTTCCCACTCTACCCACCCAAGGGCAGTCGAACCATTTTCTGTCTCTGATGACAGTACCAGCAGCAGGGAAATACCCAGACAGCTAAAGTGGAACCGCAGGTCACACCTCTGCGAGGTTATTGCTCGACTTTGGGAAGTCACCGGCTCCGGTGTTATCATCCACCTTGCAGCTCTTTCTTTTTTGGGGGCTTTGGGGGAGGATCGTTTGTTTTTTTTCAGGCACCGCCTGATCCCCAAGCATCACTGTGGGATTCCCAGTTTTCCTGTAATTAAAAAGGGTGTATTTCCAGCCACTAAGCTTCTAGGGATTATCTGGAAAACTGGAATCCTCAGGTCTCAAAAATGAAAAGAACACTCAGTGGAAAAAAAAATAATAATAAAAAATTAAAAAAAAAAAAAAAAGGCCAAAAAGGAAAGACTTGTGGTGAAAGTCGTCACCGTGACTTTGGGCACCTTGGCTCCCCGTTGTTGCCCACTTGAAGCTGAACAGCCTGTGCTCGCAGCTCCGGTGCCATCAGGCACTCAGAAGCCCCTTGGGGAGCCTGAASGGCCAGTGCCGGGAAGGAAGAGCTCAGGACCAGCCACAGCGGCACCCGCAGGAAGCCTGGCACCCTTTTGGGCAGTGGGATCGTGCCCCGAACTCCACATCCACTCCCGGGACGGGCGGCTGCCGTAACCTGGTGCTATCCCGGGGATTTTCCTGCGGGCCGGCTCACTCCCGCGCGCCGCCCGCGACGGAGGCGGCGCCTGCAGCRCGCGGCTGCAGGCTGGGCTGTACCAGCCGGGGCTCCCAGCCCGGCCGCAGCCTCACGGAGGCAGGAGCGGCTCCCATGCACAGAGGACTAGTTCCCCCTCCAGTCTGTTCAAAATAGTGTTGGCGGCGCCGAGCACAGCCCGGCTGCAGGCCCTGCCGCTCCGCCGCGCGGCCGGCACCGAGGACGAGCCCGCCGCGCCGCGATCTCCCATGCCAGGGGGCCGCTGCTGCCCCCCATCAATCCTGCAGATTGCCCCCTTCCCGCCACCCACAGCTTTTGTCTCCCTGTCCTCCGAAATCCGTGAAATCCCCACGGAGCCGCCCTTTATCCGCCCCCTGCCGCTGCCCGGACCGCGACTCTCCCGGGGCAGAGCTGCACAAGCAGCCAGCAAGGAGCATCCCGCGGCTCCTGGGCGCAGGACACGGGGCTCCTGCAGCACCCCAGGGCAGGGTGCTTCCCATCCCAGGGAGCTTATTCTGATGGGATCCCCCACTTTAGCATCCTGCGGCCAGGGCTTGGCCTCAAGGGAACTTCCCAATATATTGTGTTCACGGCCGAGACGGCTCATTAAAGTTGAGTATCAAGGCTTATTAAAGTTGGGTATCACCCCAAAACGCCCAGAACTAAAGGGTAACGTATTGGCGGGTTAATGGCTTCGCTCGCTGCAACCAGAGCTGTTSTCTGTCGCAGCCCTCTCCTCTCGGACAGAGCTAGACAGAAACGGCTCAGAAAATGGATTCACGAGAGCCACGCGCTCCCGGGAATATAGTTCTCTCCAYGGCACTGCTCACTGGGAAAGCTGCTCAGCTCCTGGATGGAAGCTCCTCGCAAGACAGACGACAAGCGCGGAGAGGTCATGTGGTTATGACACATACCTGGAATACAAGAGCTCTTCTGGGACGGGAATCAGGGGTGCTCGCCACAGCATGGGAAAAACTTCCAACATTCTGCTGCATTTGGCAGGGCATGGGGAGCAATTTTACATAACAAAGGCTTTTGTTTGTTATTTCAGGAGAATGTCCCCCCTGCCCCAACCCAGCTCCACGCTGCAGCTTGCATTAAAAGAGGGGGAAAGAAAAGTGAAGGTGCGGAGGAGGAGGGGGCAAAGGCCCCTTTCCCACAGCAGGGACAGCCGCGTCCCAGCTCTGCCACATGCAGGGACTGTCCCCTCCGCCTGGGGCTCCTGCTGCTCTCCGGCCTCGGAGCCGCGCGCGAACGCCGGGGCTTTGGATGCAGGGAAGGAGGCTGCTCCGAGGGGCGAGGCGGCAGCCTGAGCGGGCTGCGGAGCGCCTGAGCAAAGCGAGACCCTTTCACGCTGTTTCTACTGCAGCCTGGGCAGGACTACACCACGGCAAGTCCTGACAACCCTCCTCGTTCAAACACGGCTCTAGCTGCTTTAGTTGAAGCAAGCTCGGGAAAGAGTTAAAACTATGAAATTGTTGCCTGAGAACGAATCCATGCCCTCSTTTCCCTCCTTGCTACACGTTACTCCCACCCTGGATTTTTCTGCTAGTAAATACTTTCAATTTAGACAGTGGAGCGGGTACGGGAGGGCCTTAGCCCCGTCCTCCCACTCGGAGGACTTCTGCAACGCAGACCCCACGATGTCCTCTGCTAACGCCCAGCGACAGGGCAAAGCAGCGGGAGCCCCCGAAGGCGACCCCCATGCTGTGAGGCCTCGCACGGCGCCCCAAAAGCAAAGCCCAAAGCCAAAGCCCAAAAGCAAAGCCCCAAAGCCAAAGCCCAAAGCCAAAGCCCAAAGCCAAAGCCCAAAAGCAAAGCCCCAAAGCCCAAAGCCAAAGCCCAAAGCCAAAGCCCAAAAGCAAAGCCCCAAAGCCAAAGCCCAAAGCCAAAGCTGCACACACACTTGCCAGGTGTTCGTTTCATTGGATAAGAGCTGGGCTTCACAGCATCCCCTTTTCCTCAACGGCAGCAAATCCATACGTACAAAGATTTGTGCAATTTGGTTTACTTTATTGAGTAATAGTCTGATAGCTACAATGGTGATTTAGGAAAAGAAAACCAAAACGAACAAAAAAAAACTCTGAAAAAAAAAAAGAAAGAAAAACACCCAAATCCAGACTTCCCTATATTTTGGGAAACAAGCTGAAGAAAAACTTTCTACACTGTAGAAGACAGCTGTAACTGCTGATATCCATGCCCTGACGCTGGAACTGAGCAAGCCTGCAGCACGCGCTCCGAAAGCCTCAACCAAAAGAGGCTTAGTAGTAATAACATGGATATATCACCACTGGGAAGATGTTAACATGTTAACAAAGATTCTGGGATACCAATCTGGTATAATCAGCAACATACACTGGGTTCCTACGAAAGGTGTGGGATTTTGCCTTAAAACCAATTTTGAGAGAACTCTGAAAAACAATGTTTCAAACTGATTACTTACAGTACTCCGTCGCTCGCAGAAAAGCACGAGGGTTACAGTTCAACAAAAACTGAACAGCCGATCACTTTTTGGACTGGATTCGATAGGTTGCATAACTTTGGCAAGATTATCACAGTGTGATCCAGTGAAGTTTTCAGGACTCTATGAACACCAGCACCAAAGGAATCTGGGAATCTGACAAGTGGGATACTTATGCCCTCGGGCCCATCCTGGAGCGCCCCGGCAGCCTCTCCCCCTCCCACCGCTCCAGCCAGCGCCTCATAGTGCAGTATTTTAGGCCGTGGACAAGGGCAAYGTGGTCCGGGCAGACGCCAGTCGCCCTGCGAGCGCTGGAGACGCAAGCCGGGATCGCGCTGCACAGAGTCCTCTTCCTTGGTGGCATCTGAAATAAAAGCCTWTCCCCCAGAACCACCACTGTCTGGACAATGGATTCCACACCGAGTTGTACAACTGGCTACTCCGTCCTCGGGCTGATTTTAGGAATTGCATCCAGAAGCTACTGTAGGCTAGAGGCAGGTAGGCAGGACGGCTACACCTGGTACTGGTACTCCCTCAAGTACTCCTTTAGCCGCGTCGGCAGCGGCAGCTCCCAGATCTGGTTCGTGCATTTGTTGATAGTGACTCTGCAGCGATGCTGCAGCGACGGGGCCGACGTGTAGAGGGGTTTGTTCAAGTACAGATGGACGGTGCCGTTCGAGGGCGTCTCGGTTCTCTCCTTGCACATGAGCACGTAGTACTCGATCAGGTGCACGACGCTGTTGAACTGCTTGAGCCGAGATCTGACACAAGTGATCGAGTCCAGCCTGAACTTGCCGTCCTGATACTCTATGCGGAGGTTGGTGGGTCCTGCGGAGGTTTTCACCGAAATAGTCAGCAGATACTCCGAGTGCGAGCTATTTCTGACCAAGAAAGTCCCTTCGGGCGCATCCTGCAGCCTCTCTTTGGCTTCGGCAACGCTCATGTTGCCCCAGTACCACCCTGTTGAAAGAGGAGAGAGAGAGGAGCGTCACCCATGGCCGCTTGGTCAGCCTGCTTAAACACCCCTCCCCGGCCCCACAGCCGCGCTGTGGGGCAGCCGCGGGCTGAGGAGGCCTCCTGCCGGCCCCGCGGCCAGACCGGCCGACGTTTCCCACACACGTGCACCGTTGCACACACGCGCACCGTTGCACACACGCGCACACACACGTGCACCGCTGCACACACGTGCACCGTTGCACACACGCGCACACACACGTGCACCGCTGCACACACGCGCACCGTTGCACACACACACTCACGTCTGTGCACAGCCGGTGCCGCCCGCGCCGCCCCCGCTCGCTCCAGCAGCGCCGCGAGCGCGTCCCGCCGGCCGCAGGGAAAGCCCGACAAGGAGGAGGGAACAGAGGGCGCCTCTGGAGCCGGTGCGGGCCCCGCGTGGCGCGGGATGGGCAG